TCCTCCTCTTCCTCCTCCTCCTCCTCCTCCTCCTCCTCCCTTCTAATACTGATGATGTTACCCAGTTGGGTCATGAAACGTCGGCAAGAAAACTAGAAACTCAGAGAGCATCAAGGACTCCACATGCCTTCTCTTCCTCTTCCTCTTCCTCCTCCTCCTGCCCCAAACCCCACTACTTTCTAGCACTGATGATATTACCTAGTTGGGTCATGAAACGTCGGCAAGAAAACAACCAAACTCGAGAGAGCACCCAGGACCCCACCCAAAAAAGGGGGGGGGAATCTTATTCAAGACTTCTTGTATAAAAAAAAGTCCAAGCTTTAAATATTTGAAGACTCCAATCGATCTATTTGAAGCCACTTCAATGGCTGCATCTCAGTCCATCTGCCTGACCTTTTCTGGACTTCTGTCTCCATCCATTATTAAGGTCAGATTGTGTTGGCCGGATCTTATTTCACACTCACCCCCTTTTCCCAAATGTCACCCCCCCCCTGTTTAGACAGCTGCCAGTGGGGTAAGATAGCTAAACAATAACTAGTCAAGGGTCCTTTTTTTCCCCCTTTTCTTTCTAAAACAGACCAGTTGTTCTACCACAGCTAAAAATACTTTGTGGCCTTTTCAACATTATTGCAAAGAACAATGTTTGGAGTAGACACTGTGCTATTTGGAAATCTTTAGGTTTCATTGCTTAGAAGCCACAGAGATAAGTCCTTGTAGATGTGGGATGATGGAACTGAGCCACGCCGGAAATGCTGACGAGAAATTTCTCCAAAACTAAGAGGACGTTTCTTTCCTTGGCAGTCAAGGCCATGGTTTTCCCAGTTGCAAGGTATGGCTGTGAAAGTTGGGGCATAAGAAAGGCTGAGCACCAAAGAATGGAGACCTTTGAACTCTGGTGCTGGAGAAGACTCCTGCGAGTCCCCTGGACTGCAAGGCGATCCAACCGGTCAGTCCTAGAGGAGATCAACCCTGACTGCTCTTTAGAAGGCCAGATCCTGAAGTTGAACCTCAAGGACTTTGGCCACCTAATGAGAAGGAAGGACTCACTGGAGAAGAGCCTAATGCTGGGAAAGATGGAGGGCAAGAGAAGAAGGGGACGACAGAGAAGGAGGTGGCTGGATGGAGTCCCTGAAGCAGGAGGCGTGAGCTTCAATGGACTCCAGAAGATGGTAGAGGACAGGAAGGCCTGGAGGAACGTTGTCCATGGGGTTGCAATGGGTCGGGCACGACTTCGCAACTAACAACATCTATTTATCTATCTATCTATCTATCTATCTATCTATCTATCTATCTATCTATCTATCTATCTATCTATCTATCTATCTATCTATCTATCTATCTGTTGAGGCCTTTGAACAATGGTGCTGGAGAAGACTCCTGTGAGTCCCTTGGACTGCAAGGCGATCAAACCGGTCGGTCCTAGAGGAGATCAACCCTGACTGCTCTTTAGAAGGCCAGATCCTGAAGTTGAACCTCAAGGACTTTGGCCACCTAATGAGAAGGAAGGACTCACTGGAGAAGAGCCTAATGCTGGGAAAGATGGAGGGCAAGAGAAGAAAGGGACAACGGAGAATGAGGTGGCTGGATGGAGTCCCTGAAGCAGCAGGCGTGAGCTTAAATGGACTCCAGAAGATGGTAGAGGACAGGAAGGCCTGGAGAAACGTTGTCCATGGGGTCGCGATGGGTCGGACACGACTTCGCAACTAACAACAAAACTTAACATTTTTAAATTGGCATGTTAGAGACTGTTTACAGAAAGAGGCACTTCGCCTGCTTATTGAATTACGCACTTTTTTAGATTTGCAGAAATCTACTGAACAACCTTAATGCCCTTGATATATCATTATATATCTACTTATACTTAATGTGCATTAATATAATGTATATGCCTAATATACTTAATATATATGAATGTAATATATAGTTAATATGCTTAATACATACCAATATAATATGTAAACTTAATGTACTTAATGCATATCAATACAATATATATACATAATACACACTTTAATATATATATCAAAACAATTACTCCTAGAAGCACGAAGCCGAAAACACCAGCCTGAAGATGACGAATGGGACTTCGTCGAAATGTCGCCAAGACACTTCCAATTTTACGCGGGAGAAAACCCGAATAACCAAAGACCTACATCAAAACAATACATATATATGTATATGTATATGTATATGTATATGTATGTATATATATATATATATATATATATATATATATATATATACACTTAATATGCTTAATATCTCAAAGAGCTGAGTTTGCACGACACGCTAAGCCATCAAAAGCAGCTAGACCCACAACCCAAAGCTAAAACTGACAATTCTTAGTAAGCTGGGTCCTCCACCATTGTGCCTTCACATAACACGGCCATATTTAAATATTATGCAAGTTAATGCATTTTATCTTCTTTTCCCATTATGAATGTCTGCTGGGAGGGGGAAAACGAGCGGTAAACCCAGTTGCATAACTGCATATTTTAGCTGGATTGCAGCCTAAGCTAATTAATCAACGGCAGCAGCTATGGATAATTAATCTGCTCCTGAAATCCATTTAGCCTTCATGTGTGACTGCATGAGCGAAAAGCTCAGAGACTGGGTCATTTGTAAGATGCTGCTTTTAAACAAGGTTGTTTCCCATCAACGTAAACAAGAGGCAGTGAATCTAAAGATTGTTTTCTAACACTGGATGCCCTTTTTAAAGCTTCTTATCCTGACTGTTCCCTAGTTGGGGTTAGGACAAGAAAAACAACTTTTTATTTCCACCTTTTATTTTGAGAAGTGTTCACAGGAGCCAGCTGTCACATTTCACATGTTCTTGGGTTTGTTTGTTTGTTTGTTTGTTTTAAATCCAGGTTTAATTAAATGTGTTAATTGTTCACACTGTCAGGAAGTTTCTCCTTAGTTCTAGGTTGCTTCTCTCCTTGATTAGTTTCCATCCGTTGCTTCTTGTCCTGCCTTCAGGTGCTTTGGAGAGTAGCTTGACTCCCTCTTCTTTGGGGCAGCCCCTGAGATACTGGAAGTCTGCTATCATGTCCCCCCTCGTCCTTCTCTTCATTAAACTAGACATACCCAATTCCAGCAAGCGATCTTTATATCTTTTAGCCTCCAGTCCTCCAATCATCTTTGTTGCTCTTCTCTGCACTCTTTCCAGAGTCTCAACATCTTTTTTACATCGCGGTGACCAAAACTGATGCAGTATTCCAAGTGTGGCCTTACCAAGGCCTTGTAAAGCAGTATTAACACTTCACGTGATCTTGATTCTATCCCTCTGTTAAGGCAGCCTAGCACTGTGTTGGCTTTTTTGGCAGCTGCAGCACACAGCTGGCTCCTGTTTAAGTGATTGTCCACTAGGACTCTGAGATCCCTCTCACAGTTACTACCATTGAGCCAGGTAGCACCTATACTGTACCTGTACATTTGGTTTTTCTTGCCTAAATGTAGAACCTTTCTTTTTTCACCACGGAATTGTTACATTTTTTTAATTGTTAAGGTTGTTAATAAAGTGACCAACCGTCCTCCTTTAGGGAGGACAGTCCTCCTTTTGTAAGTTCTGTCCTCCCTCAAAAAGTGTCCTCCTTCATGTCCTCCTTTTCGATATTTGAAGACTAATCTGCAGGGCTTTTTTTTCCCTCATAGAAGCTCAGAATGGCGTTCCGGCACCTTTTTTTGATGTTTTTTTTTTCAGCTTTTGCATGAGCTGTGCTACTCACACTATTGGCTTTCAAAAGCCAATAGGAATTGCTGCTGAGTGCGCCAAAACACCCGGCTGGCAAACTTTGCACATGCAAGTTGTCTGTATTATTGTTGTAATGAATAAAATATTTCTTTTATTTACGATATTTTTTCTTCAGTTTATTTGTCTCCTCCTTTTCATTGTAAAAAAGTTGGTCACCTTATTGTTAAGTCCCTTTTTTCAGCGCTGCTGTAACTTCAAACGGTCACCAAATGAATGCTTGCAAGTTGTGGACTGGCTGTGTAAGGCTCTTGGGTGAGGACAAAGGAATCCAAGTAGCCACACAAACCAGGATGAAGGAATACAAAAATGAAGATTCACGAGCACGATGTTTCCTTGAATGGAACCAAACTTCTGCATGCCGTTAGGCTAATTAAACTAATCCATCATGCAAGGTGTATCTGAGGCCAGGCTAGAAAAACTGGGTGTGAAGCAGATGTCAAGTATTTTGATGAAGTATCGGGTGTGTAACTCTGCAGCCACTGTTAACTTCGAAAAACAGGTCGTAAGTAGCTTTTGGGTGGCCTGTTGTAATGTTGGACGGTCCTTAAGCTACCGGCCTTAAGTGTTGTGAGTCCGTGCCAGCCCCTGGACCCGGTAGCTGAGTCCAGGGAATCAGAGTCGGAGGAAGGCTCTGATGAGCTCCAGGACTTACAATCTACTCGTGCTCTGGCTGAGACCCAGCTGTGCGGGGAAGCTGAGTCAGACTCTGAGGACTCACAGCTGGAAGACTTCATAGACGCTCGCAAATGCCAACAAGCAACAAGAGCAGGACAGAGGGAGGTCAGGGGGCGGCTCCAAGGGAGGAGGAGAAGGCATTGAGAAGCCACGCCTTGGGGCTGCATAATAAAAAGGGAAGGTGTGGGCGGTGCTGGTTGCGGAAGGCAACCGTTGGCAAAGGGCTCAAGTTTCATGGGATCCTGTTTTGTTCGCCTTGCCTGTGAACAATTATCTGTTTGCATCGTGTTCTGTTTGCCTTGGACAATTCTCCGTTTGCATCGTGTTCCGTTTGCCTTGGACAATTCTCCATTTGCATCGTGTTTTGTTTGCCTTTGCTTTTGGGACATTTTGCAGGTCTGTACCTAATTAATAAAAGGGGTTTTTGTTTTCCCTGCATTTCCAGCCTACTGGTTAAAAGCGGAGTTCGTCCTTGTGAGTTAACAAGGACTCACGTAAGCTGGGACAGAACAGTAAGTCAAGGATTATCTGTGAAGATGGGAAGGGGTTTTTTTTTAACCCCCAAACTTACCTGCAATAGAGGCCTCTGCACACCCAGCATTTTCATGGTGTCGGCATTCGCCAGGATCTTCAGAGGATCGGTAATCTTGGTGACACCCTCGATTTCCTTGTTAATTTCACCCAGAACTTGATTAAGAAAAATGTTCTTAATGTACATGGTGAGGAACTCTCGGAGAGGGCACTGTTTCGTGGGGCCGAGGCCCAAAGCCTGTTCGACCTCTTGAATAAACCTGAAATATGAACAAAAACAGGGAGATGCATCATTACGACAGCAGGCAATGCCACCAGGACATTATTGAAGCTTGTGAATTTCGCCATTTCAACACAACACAGCGAGTCCTTTGAGTTACAACGGTTCATTTAGTGACAAAGTTACAACAGCCGTGAGAAAAGTGACTTTGGACTGTTTTTGCACACTTATAACCATTGTAGTACACACACACATGGTTCTGTGATCAAAATTCGGACACTTGGCAACTGACTCGTACTTATGACGGTCGCGGTGTTTTTTTTCTTCTTTCTTTAATGTATTTATCCCACCTGTAAAATACATTAAACAAAGGAACAAAGAGACTGCGGATTTGAAAACAAAACACTGATCCCACATCTATTTAGCTCATTTTATTTTTCTAAGAAAGCACGATTTATGACTACAATTAAAAGATGACAGCTTCACTTATGTCTGTGTGAGGATGTACACAGTCGAAGATTGGTACGGAAACATTTTTATTTCCTGAAAGAAAGAAAAAACAGCCTCTTTAACCCATCAGCCGCAGCTCCGATTCATGGTTTGTTTGTAGAACACGCAGTTTCTTCATGGTGATAAAAGTAAAAATCCGCATAGCTGGTCCTTGACGTAGGAATGTGATGGAGCCTGCCCATCAGTAAAACACAAAAACTATAAAAAAAACCACAGTTCTTAAGCCAGGGGTCTTCAAACTTGGCCCTTTTATGACTTGTGGACTTCAACTCCCAGAATTCCTTAGTCAGTGGGCACGCTGGCTGAGGAATTCTGAGAGTTGAAGTCCACAAGTCATAAAAGGGCCAAGTTTGAAGACCTCTGGCTTAAGCGAATCACTGACATAACCTGGTTGTTACGAATCTGGCTTCCCCCACTGACTTTACTTGTCACAAAAAGTGGGACACCGCAAAGGTCACAAAAAGTGGGACACCGCAAAGGTCATCAATACAAGCCAGTTGCCAAGCATCCGAATATTGATCGCATGGTCAAGGGGATGCCGCAAAGGCCGTAACACGGTCCTAAGTCAACTTTTGTCAGTGGCGTTGTAACTTTGAACGGTCAATAAACAAACTATTGTTAAGTTGAGGACTACTCGTACTTTGAACGTGGTTCATCTCCAGCAGAAGGCCATCTGAATTTGTGTGATCTCATGTACAATTAAAGCACGCCTTGAGAAGGCCTAGAGCAGGGGTAGGCAACCTTGGCTCTTTTATGACTGGTGGACCTCAACTCCCAGAATTCCTGAGCCAGCCACGCTGAGGGGAAAGGGAGAGGTTTCCAAGCTGAGCCAGGCTGGCTCAGGAATTCTGGGAGTTGAAGTCCACGCGTCATAAAAGAGCCAAGGTTGCCTACCCCTGGTCTAGGAGGCTCACCGCTTAAAACAGGAGGACTTAGGCCAGGGGTAGGCAACCTTGGCTCTTTTATGACTGGTGGACTTCAACTCCCAGAATTCCTGAGCCAGCATGAGGGAACTATGGCCCCCTCATGACTTGTGGACTTCAATTCCCAGAATTCCTGAGCCAGCATGGGGGAACTATGGCCCCCTCATGACTTGTGGACTTCAACTCCCAGAATCCCTGAGCCAGCATGGCTCAGCTTGGAAACTCTCCCTTTCCCCTCAGCATGGCTGGCTCAGGAATTCTGGGAGTTGAAGTCCACTAGTCCTAAAAGAGCCAAGATTGCCTACCCCTGGCCTAGATGGAGGAGCTGAAGGACCAAGCGATCTTATGAAAACAGCCGCATTTTGACAGCTGAAGAAAATCTTAACGGCGTTTCCAGGAGCCCTTTGACAAGAATGCAGTCAAATTAATTTGGCAATTGTAGGATTACGTGTCAAGGCAACAACTGTTGGGGGAATTCATTTATCTTTTTAGCCCAATCTCGAACAGCAGTTTCCCCCCCCCCTTTGACAATCTCATTATTAACAACAATAAAACATCATCGCACATAAAAATGAAACGGAGTCTGGGGAACGATGAGAAGCCATATTCCAGGTCAAGCGGATGGTAAATAAACGTGGCTGCTTTAGATCACAAACGTTTCTTCCGAGAGGCAACCCGCTGTTGTATGCAGGGAGTCCTCGACTCGCAACGATTCGTTTAGTGACCGTTCGAAGTTGCAACAGCGCTGAAAAAAGGGACTGATGGCTGTTTTTCACACTGTAAGGGTCTCGTTTTGACACCATCAGCATGGTGAGGTCTTTCTGAGCTTGGTGGTTTTGATGTGTGCACTGATGGTGTTATTAAGTTGGGTTATGAAACGCCTGCAAGAAAACCACCAAGCTCAGAGAGCACCAAGGACACCATAGTTGTCTGTCCTCCTCCTCCTTTCCGCAAAGCCCACTCCCTTCTAACCCTGATGATGTTCCCTAGTTGGGTCATGAAATGTCTGCAAGAAAACCCCCCAGCTCAGGGACCCCACAGTCCTTCCTCCTCCTCCTCCTCCTCCTCCTCCTCCTCCTCCTCCTCCTCCTCCTCCTCTCTGCAAACCCCTCTCCTTTCTAGCCCTGATGATGTTCCCTAGTTGGGTCATGAAATATTTGCAAGAAAACCACCAAACTCAGAGAGCACCAAGGACCCCACTGTCTTTTTCCTCCTCCTCCTCCTCTTCCCCTCCTCTCCACAATCCCCTTTCCCTTCTAGCCCTGATGATGTTCCCTAGTTGGGTCATGAAACGTCTGCAAGAAAACCACCAAGCTCAGAAAGCACCAAGGACCTCTTATCTGAACCAGCTACGAATATTCTCTTTTATTGGGAGTGGCTTTCCCTGTATACTTCCATGTAAACAGAAAGCAAACCTCTCTCCCTTCCAGCACTGATGATGTTACCTACTTGGGTTGTGAAATGTCTGCAAGGAATCCACCCAGTTCAGAGGGCACCAAACACCTGAGCTCATTTCAACCCCAAGCTAGAAATATTGTGTCCTAGGGGACTGGAGGCTAAAATATATAAGGAACGGTTGCTAGAATTGGGTATGTCTAGTTTAACAAAGAGAAGGACAAGGGGGGACATGATAGCAGTCTTCCAATATCTCAGGGGCTGCCCCAAAGAAGAGGGAGTCAAGCTCTTCTCCAAAGCCCCTGAAGGCAGGAGAAGCAACGGATGGAAACTACTCAAGGAGAGAAGCAACCTGGAACTAAGGAGAAACTTCCTGACAGTGAGAACAATTAACCAGTGGAACAACCTGCCTCCAGAAGCTGTGAATGCTCCAACACTGGAAGTTTGTAAGAAGAGACTGGACAGCCATTTGTCCGAAATGGTGTAGGGTTTCCTGCCTGAGCAGAGGATTGGACTAGATGACCTCCAAGGTCCCTTCCAACTTTACTACTATTATTATTATTATCTCTTCTAGCGTTACAGCATGACAAAAACAGGTTTCCCACTTGTTGCCTTCAAAAGAACAGTTCTTTCAGGAACATCTACATGATATCCCTGTATATCAGGGGTTCTCAACCTTGGCAACTTTAAGACTTGTGGACTTCAACTCCCAGAATTCCTCAGCCAGCTTTGCTGGCTGAGGAATTCTGGGAGTTGAAGTCCACAAGTCTTAAAGTTCCCAAGGTTGAGAACCCCTGCTGTATATATTCCAAATTGGCATTTTAACGGAGGGACTCAAAGTCTGTTGACCCTCTTGGGACGATAATTCCAATTCCGAGACTCCTTCACTTCTTATTCACTAATAATAATAATTAATGTACTACTATATCTTCCCCGCCGCTGCCTTCAAAAGAACAGGAGCCTCTGAAATGGTAAATATCCCCCCCCCCCTTGTCCATCCAATGTCAGATAGGATAGAATCAACTCAATTAACACCCTTCCCTGCTGCTCCCCCAGCCCACTCAGCCCCCCCATCCTCCTCTAATCAGTTAACAAACACTCTTGTGAGGGCCTGTGTGTCTGTCAATCCAATTATTTCCTATCTGGGATGTGAAGACACTCCATTAAATACAGCAGACAGATGGCCCTTTCACCGATCATTCAGCTGAGCTGATTAGCTACTTAGGGGGTGCAAAAATGGATGCAACTGGGTGTTAAGCATTGGAAAGCTCCCGAGGACAAAACTTCACACCTGTGCGGTCACTGTGTCCAGCACAACAACAGGGTGAAGTTTGGGACCTCACGCCTGCCGAGCTCTCTGCTCCAGCTAATGCTACACAACTCAGACTGAAGGATGAAGATCGCTCGGTTTGTTTGGATAACTGACCGCTTGTTATGCTAAATTTTATTCATTTATGTCCCACCTTTATGGTTTTTACAAATAACTCCAGGCGGTGAACAGATACAATACACTTTCCTCCTCTTATTTGCCCTACGACAACAAGCCTGCGAGGTCACTTGGCTTGAGAAAGAGAGAGTGACACGTCCAAGGTCTTCTCAACCGGTCAGCTTTCAGGCCTAAAGTAGGACTAGAACTCACTGTCTCCTGGTGATTGGCCCAAAGTCACCCAGATGGCTTTCATGCCTAAGGCGGAACTAGAACTCACCATCTCCCGGTGACTGGCCCAAAGTCACCCAGCTGGCTTTCACGCCTAAGGCGGAACTAGAACTCGCTGTCTCCTGGTGACTGCCCAAAGTCACCCACCTGGCTTTCACTCCTAAGGCGGAACTAGAACTCACCATCTCCTGGTGACTGGCCCAAAGTCACCCAGCTGGCTTTCATGCCTAAGGTGGAACTAGAACTCACCATCTCCTGGTGACTGGCCCAAAGTCACCCACCTGGCTTTCACGCCTAAGGCGGAACTAGAACTCACCGTCTCTTGGTGACTGGCCCAAAGTCACCCAGCTGGCTTTCACGCCTAAGGCGGAACTAGAACTCACCATCTCCTGGTGACTGGCCCAAAGTCACCCGGCTGGCTTTTATGCCTAAGGTGGAACTAGAACTCACCGTCTCCTGGTGACTGGCCCAAAGTCACCCAGTTGGCTTTCATGCCTAAGGCGGAACTAGAACTCGCCGTCTCCTGGTGACTGGCCCAAAGTCACTAACTGGCTT